AGTTGTGTGTTGATTCCATACAGTTAACGCTCAGAAGTACTGAGTCATCTCTTCGGTAGATTAAATGCTATGAATATGAATGAATAACCACTCTATTGGATCTTCTCCCTTCTGCATCTTTCTCCATGCCAAATTTCCTCTTCTTCTTCCTTCTCTTCAATAGGCTCTAGCTGTACTGTCCACGATATCTTCAAATTGACAACCTTCTTGCCTCATGCCCTGAGTTCTGGGATTACAGGTATAGGCCACAATGTCTGATTATGATGATTCCTTCTAAAGAGTTATACAATGGCCTTTCAGCTAGGAAAATAGAGGCAGACACTGGCCTAAAATCACGTGGGACTTGCTTCGGTCAAACACAATAATAACCGTGGATCTGACTGTCATAATAGAAGTCTTTAAAAAAAAAAATAAAGTATCTTACGTATCTTTAGAAATAGGAGGCATGGCATACCCTACAGGGCTGCTTGGAAAACCCAAGGGTTGGTTAGGAACCCGCAGGAGCAAAGGAAAACCATGAGACTTTGTTGTGTTTTTCATAGGAAGAAGAGGGCAGAACAGAATGGTTCAAGATTGATCCGATGGAGTAATCTCGATGAGTTCTGGGGGGCTAGAGCTGTCCCCAGCTGTCTGGTATTTAGGTGGTGATTGATTAGGACAGGGAACTGAGGGCCACAGTGCCAGAGGTCAATAGAGGAGGTGTTTGGAGCTGAGGCTCCTGATTGGTTGGTTGCCTAAAAAGGTGCACTCGGGAGGAGTGGTTTGTGCGAGCATCCCCACTGGGCTACACCTGGTCTGGCTCTGGAGCTATCACCTAGCCCCAATCCATCTTTTGTTTAGCAGATACCCTTTATTTCTCTTGTCACCCTATGTGAATCTTACCTGAGGGCTTCCCAAGGACACAAAGCCTGTGCAAAACTTGGTGGGGGGAAATCCAAATCCTCGCTTTTATTTTGAATTTGCACTTGGCATTGTCTTTTTGGAAGCTTAGGCAGGTTGTTTGGAGCATATGGAAATCAACTGGCTAAGGTGTAAATTGGAGAACAATACAAGAAACCCTGTGCTATAGTGGTATATTTAATAAATATAGCTTGCCTGAGAATCAGAAGGGCAAATCAGGCTTACTAGCCAGCTGTACAGGCCAGGGAGTGGTAGTACACACCTTTAATCCCAGGACTAGAGGCGGTCGGACCTCTGTGAGTTCAAGGACACCATAGGCTACAAGATTGAATCTGTGTAAAAGAGTAACAGAGCTCACACAAAGGTGATCCCAGGACTTGGAATCACACACATTTAATCCCAACACTAGGGAGGTGGAGACAGGAACAATATGGCTGGGCAGAGAGAGGACTATAACGGGGAAGAGACAGGAACTCAGTGGAGTGTGACGTTTGAGGGTTCCTGGAGACAGGATCTTGCCCCTTCAGTCTGAATGAAGATTTGGTAGAGATAAAAGGTGTCTCTAGTGGTTGACTGCTTTGCTTTTCTGATCTTCAACTTGAACCCCAATATCTGTCTCTGGGTTTTTATTATTTGTGTAATACTGGGCAAAAGGATAGCAGTACAGTCCTTAGAGGCTGGATTCATCGTGCATCCAAGAAAGGCTAAATTCACTCTTGAGGTGCTTCTGAGGTTTTCTTTCTGTAAAGTTTTGTTTTGTTTTGTTTTGTTTTGGGCCCAACAAACCTCTCCGCCAATGCAATAATCCAAATCAAACCAAATCAAACCGAATTAGAAAAAGCCCAGGTTTAATGGATGCCAGCGCTCCCCCGGGGTGGCACTTCAGACTCCCCTCCCACCTCCCCCTCCCAAATCCCCCAGGAAACCAGGGAGAGGGAGAACTGGAGGGCACTCTGTGGGAGTGGTCTTGATCCTCTCTGGGGAGGAGTCACCATTTGGCGGGCTTTCTCAGACATAGAGTCTAGACTGTGATAACTCCCAGGGGAGGGGGCTTGAAATGGAACTTTCCACCAATGTTCCAAAATGAATGCCGGGAGCTGGGGTGACACTTCCAACTAAACACTTTCCACATACCCACACCGTGACAGTTGTTTGTCGTGTGTAGAAATCCGTCAGTTCTTGGAAAGAGAGTCTGGTTAGCATTATGACTTGAGTCTTAAATGTCCCCCACTGGCTCATGTGCATGGCCACCTGCTCTGCCAGCTGTTGGAGCTGTTCTGGGACATGTGGAGACTTTGAGAATGGAACCTAGTACAAATAAAAGCCACTAGGGGTAGGGCTTTGAAGGTTATACCCATCTCTGATGGGCTAGCACTCTGCTTCCTGAGCCACCATGATGTGAGTAAGAACCCTGTAAACTCCAGCTGTCACGAACTGAGCCACTCCAAACAGCATGCTTTCCCCAGGGTAAGGAAGTGAACCCCCTGAAATGTGAACCAAAGGAAACCTCTCCATGTTTAATCTCTGTCACATGGTCTGTCACAGGGGAAGAAGAGAAACTGCAGTCAACAAGAACCCACAATGTCAAAGCAGCAGGATTAAAAGGCACAATTAATCAACACGCCAACTGTAAGTCTCTCGAATTATACAGGATGTCGCTTCTCCACAGCCCTCACTCCACCTGTCCAAGAGTCTTCTCAGGAGAAGTCTTCCCAAGAACTTGTTGATAAGAACTGACATCGGGGAATTTACTAATGTTTTCAAGGAATAATTTAGAACCATTCATTTGAGCGATAAGGCTGAGAAGTTCCCTAAATAAATTATGTACCAACCCCAAAGCAAAGTTGTCAATTAATAAGCACGAAGTTCAGCTACATGTCTGCAAACAATAGCTTGTCAACATAAATCTTTGCCCTTTTTGGCATAAAGTCTAGAAGTAGGCAGTTGAGAACAGGCTACACCTCGGGGCATCCGTGATCCTTTGAGTGCCGGCTGAAGAATCCTAGAACTTTCTTTTGTTCCTCGTGTTTCCCAATGCCAGTGTTGAGGAAGAGCAAACAATAAAAAGAAGTAGATGTACAGGTAGCTGCCTTTCAGAGACAATGTCTTACCTAACTGGCCAGAACTCAGACACACTGGACAATCATGAAAAAAAAAAGTCGTTGTTACTGAGTTAAAATAAAAGGCTCTTAGGATTAGATTTTGGAGATAATTTATGGTCCCCATCAGACACTGTGCTTTGAGCTTCTGTCATCCTTCTACATTCCCTCTATACCACCAATTCCAAAAGTAGGCCAGATACTTTCCAAGTCTGAAATCTGTCATTCTAAAACCTTTACTTCTCTTATTCTCCGATGTTGGGCCAAGACTTAAGTCTGGTTTGTTCTACTACACTAATCTCTCTTGAGCAATTTCAGACAGGGGTTCTGCCATCTGGTCTATCGTTCTCCTAACTTGGTGCCTCTCCCTCCATCTAATCCCCCACATGCCCTTTCAGATCATGTCTTTGCTGAAACAGGAGCCTTTTCCTGAGTGTTTATCTGCCTATGTCTTTTGCTGCCTAGAACCCTTTCAACATAAAGCCCAAGGGACAAACACAATGCAGCAGGCCCTCCATGCTGTGTGGTCCCCGACTGTCCCTCTCCCGTTATCCCCCTTGACCCTGTCCTCATATATACAAGTCCATATAACCAAAACTATATAAGATCTCAAATCTGCCACAGAACTCGGTGACTCCATGCATCTGTGCACACTCAGTTAGCCAGAATGCTCGTCTCTGACTCTAGGGAGCATTTGAGGATTTCTGTCATTATTCAAGACCCATGTCTGCAATGCTTTTCTCTTCTGACACAAGATGGGCACGGCTTCCTCGGCGCCACCCCAGCCATGCTCCCATATGCTGCAATGATTCATTTACACATTGATCCATCCTCCAAGGGTCTGAGTTGCTGCAGGACAGGAACCATGTCTTACTCATCTTTGAAGAATTAACACTAAATGTATCTGCCAAGTAACAAGCCCTCAGTAACCATCCACACAGCAAAGAAAGCTCTGGCTGGGAGGAGGTGCCCTCTGATGAACCTTTTTACCCTGAAACACATAGGCGAGCCTGCACTTGCTGTCTCTCTGCCCTCGAATTGCAGTTGGCAGGTAGTTCTGGCTAGAATCTCAGCTGGAGACTGGGATATGCACTACTTGGCCCCAGTTTTGGCACCAGAGATGACTGTCAGGAGAGACAAACACGTACCTGTGAGTGCTGATACCTAAAGCAACCAGGCCAAAAGCCACCGTTTCACAGCAAATGCTTCAAAGTCAAGTGATGGCCCAAATAGACGAGAGACCGGGTCTTAGTTTATGGTGTGGTTAACTGGTGGCCCTACCTTAAACACACCGTGATGATGAAATCATCACGTCAGTTGGTATGCCCTCTTGTTACATCATCAAATAAGGATAAAACAAAAAGATTTTTAAACAGATATGGACATAGATGTCTTAAGTTAATAACTTTCTATATTATTTCAAACATAAAAATAACTCTACTCAGCGGTAGAGGGTTTGCCTGGCTTGCATGGGACCTAGCTTCCATCTTTAGCATAGAAAGAAAGGGGAGAGGATGGGAAGGAGAGGAGAGAAGAAAAGGGGGAGGGGAGAAGGAGAGGGAAAATACAAAGCATTATATATACAACTATAAATAAAATGTTGCTACAAGGCGATTGTCCACAGAGACTTCTAAGATGGCAACATGAATCCTAAAAGTATCCCAACCGCACAGCGATGTGACCTAAGGGTCCAGCAGCATCGCTGATGTATACAGCACCTTCCTTTCATCCTTTGGCTTTAGGACAAGATGCAAATAAAGTTAATAAAGGCAAACAAATAAATAAATAACTCAAGTTCTATGTAAATTCTTTATGCCGCCCTCACCCCAATCCTTAAAACAGCTGCAGTGATGTTTTGGGCTATCCAATGATAACAGCACTGTGGGTTTTCTTTACTTACTTTTGGTACTAGGCACTGAACCCAGTACCTCATGTGTGCTAAGCACATACTCTACCACCAGCCCAGATGCCTTCTGGTAAAGGTGGTTTGAAGTTACTCACCTGTTAGGATGCTGTTGCAGCTTCTGATGGCAATGCCGTGACAGGGGTGGCCCAGAAGGCCCCAAAAATGGATCCTGCTGCTGATGGCGGTAAGATGATCCGGTTCAGCTGCTCCCCTGAGCACGGGCTCTCTGGCCTTCTGCTAAGTGTTGCAAGCAGCTTTTCTGGGAACTAGATGGGAACCTGGCTTTGCCATTTGCCAGCTCTGAAATACTGGGAACATTACCTAACTGTTTTATTTTCTTTGAAAATTGAGGGTGATCCTAGCGTGACTTCATTATGAAAATTAACTGAGATGATCCAGGTAAAGGGTCTAACATGAAACCTGATGCTGATTAAGTGTTCTACAAACTTGACCAATTGTATTATAATTAAGAATAGAGCCATTACCCTCCTTAGTACAGGATAATGTCACTCAGGAGATTGGGGTGCGATTCCCTGATGGGAAGGTGATACAGCCAGAGTTATCTGAGAAGAAGAAACCACAGTTGAGAAGATGCCTCCATAGGACAGCCTCTGAGCAAACCTTCATTTTCTTGACTAGTAATAGATACCAGAGGGCCTAGCCTATTGTGAGTGGTACTGTCCCTGGGCTGGTGGTCCTGAATTCTATAAGCAAGAAGGCTGAGTAAGCCAGTAAGCAGTACCTCTCCATGGCCTCTGCATCGGCTCCTGCCTCCAAGTTCCTGTCCTGTGTTTGGACTTCCCTTAGTGATGGGCTATGATGTAGAAGTGCGAGCTGAAATAAACCCTTTCCTCCTCGAGTTGTCTTTGGTCTCAGTATTCAGTCACAGCAATAAAGACCCTAGGACAGGAGTCAAGACAGGTATGGTGGCACACACAAATTTCACCCGGGAGGCAGAGGTAAGTGAGTGCTTGGAAGCTTCAGACCAGCCAGTTAGACAGTAAGACCTTGTCTCGTGTGTGTGTGTGTGTGTGTGTGTGTGTGTGTGTGTGTGTCTGTCTGTCTGTCTGTCTGGGATTGACTCCTGTCTTTATTGTTTGATAGTTATGCATAGTAGGACTTTCTCTTGAGGATCACCAGCCCCCAAATAATGACCTGGAGACTTAGTATTAATCATGAAAGCTTGGCCTTAGCTTAGGCTTCTTTCCAACTAGCTCTTACAATGTAATTAACCTGCTTCAGTTAATCTACATTTGCCACATGGCTTTGTACCTGTCCTCCATTCTGTATGTCCATCTCCTTCCGTGTCGTGCTGGCATCTCCCTCATGCACTTAGACTCATCCCAAGTTCCTCTCTCTGCCCAGAAGTCCCACCTAACCTCTCCTGCCTAGCTATTGGCCATTCATCTCTTTATGAAACCAATCAGGTGCCTTAAGCAGGCAGGGTAAAACAGCGATATATCTTTACACAGTTTGCTCAGCTACCCCACAACAGCTATGTGCCACTGCAAAAGCTGTTTAAGTTCACGGTGTTTCAGTTACCTGCCTTATAAAATAAAAGTAATAGTAGATTATTGTGAGAGCAAATGAAATTAGGTCTACGGCATGCTGAACATTTTCTTCTCATCTTCTGGAGTGGTACTCTTCTAATGGTTCCTTTGACTGGAGTACACGGGTTATGGGCAGTGACCACACCCCCAGCAGTGGACTGCCTGATCACAGAACACAGTCTTTTCCTAACTATTCAGAAGGATCTCTGGGAGTTCCCAGACAAATGCTGGTTCTAATGCGACAACACTGTCACGGATTTATCTGCCACTTCACCTGCTACCATCCTGTTAAATATTTGCACAGCTGCCCCCTTCACAAAAACCTTGAGAAATTATTTCCCCAGCACACATTTAAGGTGATATGCAAGATTTTTCCTTAGATGCAAAGGCAGTAATTTCTGGTAACTGAAAATACCTAAATTTTAAAATAGTGACATTCATTAAAATCTGTGCCAAACAAAATTTAAATATCGTAGTGATTGAATACCAACAATTAGCCATTTAAATATATATAAACAAGTTTTTATTTAATCGTTAGAATCTATAATTTTCTTTTTTCTTGAAATTATTTGATGGTGTAACATTTATACTGAGGCCTTTTTAATTGTCCTATTAGCCTTTTCTGCAGTCAAAATGCAACTGAATTGTGACTGAAATTTGTTTTCATTCCCATTATCGTGGTTCACTAAGTATTAAGCATTTTTCTCTAGATTTAGTCCTTATTAAATTTTTATAAGTAAGCAGTTAAACAGACAGATCCAAATATAAGTTTTGGTAATACATATTTTTTCAATAATTATTACAACATGCAAGAAAACTATTTGTATTCCTCTCTTCTTTCCTTTGTTTTTTTTTTAATATTTATTTATTTATTATGTATACAATATTCTGTCTGTATGCCTGCAGGCCAGCAGAGGGCACCAGACCCCCATTACAGATGGTTGTGAGCCACTATGTGGTTGCTGGGAATTGAACTCAGGACCTTTGGAAGAACAGGTAATGCTCTTAACCTCTGAGCCATCTCTCCAGCCCCCTCCTCTTTCCATTGTATCCATACAAAGAACTCATAGAGTCCTGGGTCAAAAATCCCTGGTGCCAACCTGAGCAGATGGCCCAGATCATTACTCCAGCCCTTTCAGCTTGATGTAATGCTTGGGTTGAGACATGGTCCTCTACAAGGCCAAGCCACTGAGCTCCTGTGGAAACACTTGGATCTACACAAGCCAATTGGAATAGCTCAGCAAATGTTCAATAGCATCAGACAGGGAGGACCAACAGCTATGCCAAGACTCATCATGATCCCCAAATGAACCCTGCCATGGTCCAAATTTAAAATATATAGAGAAGGAAAAAATTAGCCAGACATTGTAATGCATGCCTATATTCTCAACACTCTGAAAGCTGAGGCAGGAGGAATGAAAGCTTGAAGCTAGCCTGGGCTAAACGATAAGAACCTATCAAGAAAGGAAGGAAGGCTCCAAAACCACATAGAAACCCTGTCTCAAAAAACAAAAACAAAAAAGAAAGAAAGAATGGAAGGAAGGGAGGGAGGGAAGGAAGAAGGAAGGGAGGAAAGCAGAAAGAAAGAGAGAGAGAGAGATTCCAAATGACATAAATGGAAAAATAATAGTGTTTTTGTCTCTCCTCCCAAGTGCAGGGATTAAAGGTGTGTACCACCATCATCAGGCAAATTAGAGGGTCTTAATTAAAAGAAGGATCTTGTCTAATACTTTTTTGCCTGAGTGGATGGAAGCCCAAGACTGAATGTCCTATCACCTAGAACTGCGCCTGGCACACATAGCCATTCAGTGTGTGTGGTCAGATGAATTGTCCCTTGTCCTTATGACGTCCTCAAGGATTTCATCCCTGGGAAAAAGCAGTTTAGAAAACTCTAAGACAAAGCATTTTAGACTCCTCTGTAAGGCAAAGAAGAGGAATGTGTAAAGGGTACAAAGAAGACAATTGAAAACCCAATGGCTCAGCGGTTAAGAGCACTGATTGCTCTTCAAGAGGACCTGGGTTCAACTCCCAGCACCCACGTGGCAGCTCACAACTGTCTGTAACTCCACTTCCGGCGATCAGACATACAAACAGACAAAACATCAATGCATAAAAATAAAAATAAATCATTTAAAAACAAACAACAACAAAAAAACAAGTTCAGAAGATTCTGATCTTATCTGTTACTGGAGTTTGTCTGCAGCAAAGCTGAGGAGAAACAGCCGACTCTTTAGAAAGACCTCCTTGCTCAAGACTCAGCTTTAGAGCGGAGTCTGCAGAGACGGCAGTTGTTCTGGGGAGAAGCTGTTGGCTTCAGGAAGAGGAGATTCTTTCAGTGTCATCATTTCGGGTTGGATACTTCCCAAACCAGAATCAACCTAAAAAGAAATGCTGGGCGAGACACGCAGGCTTAACTCACTCCACAGAAGAGCTGGGAAGCAGACGCATCGAAGGGCGTGGTTATCCGAACTTCAAGCCAACAGTAGTGGCGATGGTTGAAATGACATTAACTCTCAAGGTCAAGATACAGAGAGAAACTGACAAAGAGACAGAAGGACCCATGAACTCACTCAAGACATTCAAATATCTGTGGTCGTGGAATGACCACCCTGTGCCTGGGGCAGTGCTGGGTGTGGTGGAGTATGTCATCAGATCATACAAAATAGATCTGCCAAGGGGGAGGCTTACATGGAAGTTGTGTGGCAAATGTTCTAGGCATTGTGTGATGGAGAAGGGTCATCTTTCTATCTGTTGTTTCATTGGTTAAGCAATAAAGAAACTGCCTTGGCCCTGATAGGACAGAAAATTAGGTAGGCGGAGTAGACAGATCAGAATGCTAGGAGAAAGAAGCCCAGTCAGGCAGTGGCCATGATTCTCCTCTCTGAGGCAGACACAGGTTAAGAATCTCCCTGGTAAGCCACCAGCTCGTGGTGTTACACAGATTATTAGAAATGGGTTAATCTAGATGTGAGAGCTAGCCAGTAAGGGGCTGGAGCTAATGGGCCAAGCAGTATTTAAAAGAATACAGTTTCCGTGTAATTATTTGGGGTAAAGCTAGCTGAGCGGTGGGAGGCGGCCCTTACACAGGGGCTCTGTGTCCCTTACACACAGAGAGAGAAAGAGACAGAGACAGAGACAGAGAGACAGAGACTGAGAGCCAATTACTATCTTCAGCCCTTTCCTTCCAATATATCCTATTTTAGGAAAGAAAGAAAATTTCATCACTACGCTTGGGGAAAAAGAAACATGGCAGCAAGAAGCCTCCTACTGTGCTCCAAACTTCTCATCAAATACTCCTCTCTGAGGTAAGTTCTCCAGAATCTATTGTATAGTCTGGTGCCTCCGATGATCATACCTGACTGAACTCAGCGTCCAGTTTCCAGCCGTCCACATAAATCCTTATCAGCTGTTCACCTGAGGAGGCTTAAGGCAGAGCGTGGGGCTAGCTTCTCTCTGATCCTGACCACAGCAGTACAGCATCCTAACAAACCAGTTCTCAGTGGCCTTTGAAAGGCCATATCAGTTGTCCTTCCTTCCCACCCCACCCCCCCAGAGACCCAGAGGAAGGGAGAGGGGAGGGAGGGGGAAGACCGACTTGGGTAGACTGGAAAGAGCTCCATCTTTTCCA